AGACTTGGCATGTAAAGTGAAAATTTGGAGGGAGAAAGGAAAAAAAATAACACTGTGTATGCAGCAGTCAAGGAGGTGTTAAGTTCAATGCAAACTAACCTCCTCTCATCAGCGGATCGCAGCAAAGGCAATTTATGATGCTACTTCAGTATATTCATTGTCCCTTTTCCACGGAGTTATCTTATGTGTTTTAAAGAGCTTATGTGCTACTGGTTGTAATTTTTGTAATCTGCAGATTTTTAAGATTCTCTTAAACAAAATGTGGGTACATAAAAATGATGAGGTAAATTGTGTGCATCAACAATTTTGAAAAGTATAAATATCTCGGTATCAGGAAAGCTGTCAGCTGAGGACCACTGGAGAAGGTCACCTTAGTTATTGTTGAAATAGATTTCTCAGTAAACTTTCATTTAAAAATTTTAAAATCGTCTAGAAGCAATTATTTTAAGGCTGCCACCAGAGGGCGCCCTAATCATTGTAGACAATAAAAGCCCAGCCACTCAATACTTCCCAGGGAATTTTTATTTTGACCAAGCAACATTGCAGGGCAGAAAACGAACACGAGCAGAACATTTCCACTGTTTCCCATGTCATTTTACTAGACATTTTCTCCTGTTTTTGTTTTTATCTGACAAGTCATCCTCAAACACAGAAAGCAGGAGAAATGAGTCATGCCTCTTTTTTCAGTTCGTTCCAAGAGGGGAGATGACAGAGTATGAGATTGAAGGTATCGTTTCGACAGTAACATCTTGCCCGCAAACATCATGCAGTGCAAAAAGTCACATCCCCATCATGCAAGGACGTTAAAAGACATGGTGGAATAAAATCCTGGGCTTTATGATGAGATGTTAATCGTCTCCCTGGGGCATGCGTCCCCTTTTGGATTCAAGGTAAAGAAATATCAAAACAGGGCAGCGAAGTCTTCTCACAGCACGAGAAACAGAAGTATTATTCAGAACGTAGAATCCATTTCTTCATTTTCTCTGTGGTCTGTGGTGATGTGTGCAAGGGTGAAGATGTGCAGAGAAGGCTTCCTGTCTCACAACACACAGAAACGAGTTCGTTATCTTGTTCACTGAGACAGCAGCTCTGGGTGCTGGAGGAATGACTGATCCACCTCAGTCCATTTCCTATGAGTTCTTAAAATCTAGTTTCAGGGTCTTCCATTTTTGTGACATATTACAAAACCCTAGGGAGGCAGTCACTCCACATTTCTAGGACTCTATTTCTCTTATATATAAGTATCAGTATACCCCCCAAAAAAAAAATATTAATATGGTGAAGTCAATTGGAAAACCCCAATCAAATATCAAATATTAGACCGAAGAGGAGATCCATCCTAAAACTTCATTTAGACATGGCGGCTTTGCAACACAGAGTGACTACTGGGTGGCCCCCTTCTGCACCTAAATTACTCACTTGATCTTCTGTGGACTTCATCAAAATATTATCAATCGGAGTATCACACAAAGAGGTATACGTCCATAAATTTATATATGGCTGGAACTGGTACAGTGCCTCTCCTCAAAAGACTTGAAAGTGTCTGGTGCACCTCTGTGATACTGCTTGTGATTTAGGGGCTGAGGAAATTAGCATAATTACATAAAAAAGAGCTGAGAGGAACTTGAGGTCCTAACCCTTAATCACTAAGCTCAGGGTCTGGCCTCTCCTGACACGTTTAAAATGGAAAAATAAACAGATCTCTTTCATCCAGGGATCTCACAGCTCCTACCAAGCAGTGTAATTACAGAAGGAAGGAAAGGAAGTAGGATGATAAGTTACGCCCCAATCCACAGCCAGCCCAGCAGCAGATCAGTACGGGAGGAACAGTAAACTTTCAGGCCGCAAGGAAGAGACTGTACTCAAGGAACAGGGGCCCTCGGGTTTCTGGTCGATGAGCTCGGAAAAGCCACCACGGCCCTGGGCCCACGGCAGTGCAAGGACACGTACGGTCAAGTTCACCTGCTGGGCCCCCACACCACTGCGCAAGGCAGAGATGGAGGGAGACTCACGCTCACGTCCTGGCCACACCACGTGGGGGCATCCCCAAGGCACCTCACACTCCTTGGCCAGAAGGAATGATAATCCACAGCCATCCCCAGTATTACAGAGACCCCTCCGGAGGCGGAGGGGGAACCTGAAACACATCCATTTGCAAACCACTACAAAGTGCTACTTAAACCTAAGGCACCATCATGTCACCTTGACCTCTGACTCCAGCACAAGCGTTTCCCCAAGCTTGCTTCCGGGAGTCTTCACCATAGTGTGCTTTAGAGTCTTCATCCAAGGCTGTAGGCCAGGGGTGTGATAACAGAGACTGTGACACAGCTCAGGATTACTCAACGCAACAGACATCCTCCATATGAGGGACGCGAGTCAGCAGATCCCGCAGTGGTCTGATCAGTGAGGGTATCACATCACGCACCAGGCAAGCAGTGGAGGGGAGCAGTCCCCCGACCCACAGCAACCCCAGCGAGGAGTCCAAGCCAGATTCTAGTCCACGGCAAGTGCCGTGGGTTCAGACCCGGTTACGATCAGAGCTTCTCCGTGTCCTGAGTGGTCATGGTGGTGTGCGGTTCCACAGCCCTTGACAACAGATCTCTTTTATCCCAGGATCTCACAGCTCCTAACAAGCAGTGTACTTTACAGAAGGAAGGAAAGCAAGCAGAATGAAAGTTACACCCCAATCCACAGCCAGCCCAGCAGCAGATCAGTATGGGAGGAACAGTAAACTTTGACAACAGCAAAGGGTGTAGGAATCTCCCCTTAGACCCACACGAAATGGCCCCAAATCCATTTCAGAGATGGGCCAGTCCTCAGGAGTAAATTGGAAGTGATCCAATTTTCTCAGTATCCCTCAGATCAGAAAAAAATGGCTTCAGGCACAGAGAGACTTACTGGCATTACTTCTGAAGAATGTCACCCTCCTGTTCTCACTTCTCTTGCCCTTCTCTTCAACCACAGCTGAAGGTGGGAACTCAGAGCTGCAGCCCCCCCTACTTCCTAGCACAACAGAACACAGACTGAACACATCCCCAGAAGGGAAGTCACAAGTGAGCAGGTGAGTCTGGTCTAGAAAAGCTGGGTGCGAAATCCTGCAACAACTCAGTTTTAACTTTCACGAGGGGGGTGGGTTCTATAGGGTAACTGTTTCAACTAACAAAGCAAAAACGTGTCAACTGACTTCACCTTGAAAAGTAATTGAAAGACTGGATTAAGTCATCTCAGGGATCTATTTTGCCTTTAAATTGGGGTGGTACCAGTGGACTTGAAAAGGTCAGTTACATGTATATGTTAACGAAAAGTCACAGTAAAGCATTAAAATATATCTGCAAGCTGTTGAAGCACTTCCTCCTGGGGAAAACTGGTTTGACATCTATCGGGTGGTGCTGGAAACCAAAGAGAAATAAGGCAGAAGAACATATATCATAATATCTTTTCCTCCATGATTTATCAGCTTTTCTCACCACTTTGTTTCCATTGAGAACCCTAAACAATCCACCTTCTGATTACAGGAAGAATTTGACCTGTATGCAGGTCAAGAAGCAACAGTTAGAACCAGACGTGAAACAACGGACAGGTTCCAAACTGGGAAAGAAGTACATCAAGGCTGTATATTGTCACTCTGCTTATCTAACTTATATGCAGAGTACATCATGAGAAATGCCAGGCTGGATGAAGCACAGCTGGAGTCAAGATTGCCAGGAGAAATATCAACAACCTCAGATACGCAGATGACACCACCTTTATGGCAGAAAGCGAAGAGGAACTAAAGAGCCTCTTGATGAAAGTGAAAGAGGAGAATGAAAAAGCTGGCTTAGAACTCAACATTCAAAAAAACAAAGATCATGGCGTCTGGTTCCATCACTTCATGGCAAATAGACAGGGAAATGGGGAAACAATGGAAACAGGAAGAATTAGATGCAGCTAATTACAGGCAGAATCAATGATAATTTCTAGAGTAAAGAGGATGAAACACCAGCCTTCAAACCAGAAGCTTCAGGGTCCAGCCTGAGGACCTGAATCATTCCTTCTCTCGGAGCCAACCATTCCTTCTCTCTCCTTCCACCTGAGGCAACAGCACCTTAATGCTTACTGGGTCAAACTGACCAGCATGGCCTTTATCTCTCAGAAGCTTCTAGTATTACAATGTGCTTCTTGTTTGGTTTCCACCCCCTCCTCTTCTTTATGCTAAAGTTGTTTTTTGTTTACAGAATAGTAAGACTTCTTAGTAAAGCTTAGGGAAATTTTTAAGAACTATTTCCACTTAGTTTGCGTTTAAAATTCGGGGGGGGGGGGCGTTATTTCCATTTGAATGTCAAGCCACACACTCTGACAGTACAAAGGCAATGAGGTTGTGTTGACAATTTGCTCGAGGTCAGGCTGAAAGGGGTCTCTGCTGTGTTGAGGTTATTCTTATGGAGAGAAGTATTTGTGGTGATTAGTGAGTGGAGACTTGTCTCTTGTTTCTCTAATAAAATGAGTTCCCTTTAAGGGTATTAGTCTATTAGTCTTCAGAAGACTGCATTAGTTGTGCTTCATTTGGTTTAGGATGTGTGGGCATAAATGGCATAAACCTTAAAGTGTATTTACTAGAAGGGATGATGTAAGAGGAAAGTCCTTTTCTGGTTAGGAGAATGGTTTACAACAGATAGAAACCTAAGCATTCTCGGGACAGAGACAGAAGCAGAGAGAAAAGCCAGAAAATAAAGATTATTATTAGCAATGCATGCCCTACATTTATCCCACAAGATTTCCTGAGCATTCCTCAGACATTATAGTGCAATATCATAACTCAAATGAATCCATAGTATTTCTATTTTTCTCAAGCAAAAAGGATATACTTTGAAATATATACTGAACAAAACATACCATAGTATATAGCCTCTTTTAAGACACTAGTAATCTGAACTTCTATAAATATCCTTAAATAACAAACATATTATAGACAGCTATTCACATAGTGACACATAAACATACAAAAATAAAACAATTTTAACTTTTTTTTTTTGGAGTAAAGATACTAAAAGTTTCAGACACCAGAATCACCTTGTCAATATTGATCCTGGGGATCATGGATATACATTTATTTTATGGCCATGTTGTGCTTTTTGTGGGATCTTAATTCCCCAACCAGGGATTGAACCTGGGCCCTCAGCACTGAGAGCATGGAGTCCTAGCCACTGAACCACCAGGGAACTCCCTGGATGTACATTTATACCACGCATAGCTACCACAACCAAGGGCAATGGCAGCAAACACTCCTCGCTGGATGTTATTACTATGTCCTGGTTCAGAAACGCTTAGGTCAGAACAGAAGTGTCCAAGTGTGATGAGAAAGTTGTCTTTAGCTGTTCTGTGGAAAGGACACATGAATCTGGTCCCCTACCCCAACCCGGATAAAGTGTGAAAATATTAAGCTGTCCTTTGAATGAGTAGAATACAGAACATGTCTCCTTCTTGAGCGTTCCCATACACCATTTGCTATGAAGCATTTCTCAACACGTGGGAAAGGCACCACCATTCTGGACCAAAGGCAAGGAACTTGGGTTCCATGATACCACATCTGTCCTGCTCCGGGTGCTCTGTAGAAAGCATTCCTCCACTCAAAAGGTGATTTGGGGAACTCAGCTACCCAACCAGATAGAATATGTACATTCTTCTTTTGGAAAACGGAATATTTCTATGAAGAAGTATCCCTGGCCAAAAGTGATCTTTTGTCCGTGGAATGCTGTCCTTCTCTTGAGAACAAGAAACAGAAGATGTGTTTCACATCCCACCTAGAATCCAGTGTGAGCAGCGGTCCCAGAAGGAACACAGACACAGATTTCTCAGCTGAACTCCATCCCTCCAGTCTGATGGGAGCACTGGAATTGGTGAGGCAGCATCATTGTTTGTTTTCATCCCAACCGCATCCCTCCAGGAGGAGCTGGTGTTTCCAGGAACTGGGTTTCAGTTTTCCTTTACAAGGAAAAATGTGAAGCTATCGCAACGTCTTGAAGAGTTGCCTGAGGGGTAAGACAGGAGGGGAGAGCATCCTGGCTTGTTCTCAGATAGAATTTTCAAGGCGGGAAGATGAAGGTGGTTTCTTGGGGGAGCCTTCGGAGGCAGAGGTGGGGGTTCGCCTCTGCTGATGTTGCTGATAGATGTCCTGGATCAGCAGGGTGTTCATGACCTTCCACTCCCTATATTTTCTGGCTGTCAGCTTCGGATCATCCAGTAGCTGGTTAATCATGGCCAGGTCGTGTTCTTTACACTGTCCAAGTAGAAAAAAAAAAAAGAGAGAGAGACAGAGAGAGAGGAAGGTGAGACGTGATAATGATCTTAACTTCGATAAACCATCTTCAGCCTTTTGCAAATAAATGCACATATACCTTGACCGCAAAATTATCAAAGTGTTTTTACACACTAATATTCAAATCCCCACAACAGTCCTAAGAGAAATGGCAGGACACCCCGCCCATTTATATAGGCTAACCACAAAGAGGTAGACACCCCACACAAGGCTTGGGGGAAGAAATGGACACAGAACCCAGGTCTCCTATGTCACTGTTTCCTGATGAATCCAGTGTTCCACACCACAGTCATATTTCTATCTCAGTGTGAGCTTTATTCCTCCTGGAATGGATAACTGTATAACCATGTTGTTGATCATCCAAACTTTATGAAGTTGGGACACAGTACTTTTCCTAAGACATAAGACAGTACAAAATATCTCTCTTTTATTTTCTATTAAATTGCACTAATTTTAAATAAATTCCACACATTTATTTAATGTATACAGACTAAATAGGTAGGCTATCTTTTTATTCAAACAAGATATCATTAAACTGCCATCCAAACAATGTGTATTTCAATGATGCCAATAGTCTGTTCATATCATTTCACCCTGCCTCCTCTGCAAACAGTGACACACNTACTACAGCTCATAAATGTACATTCACTTCGGGTATCATGCTCTCCAAAAAATGAACCCCCGATTGAACTGAGAAGCTTTTTCCATGCTTGCATGCCTTCCAATGCTTGGAACCCTCTTGGAACTTATCACGTCACACTTAGATGTTCATGGGTCTGTCACGTCGTCTATTCTAAAGCTTCTTAAGGAAGGTGATGAGCAACATATTTTATTCATTCCTGTATTCCCTGTACCTCACTCAGGGCTGAGTGCCAGGCAGATATTCAGTTGTGAACTATCTCTGCTAGATCCGGGGCAGCAGGTGCATAGGTGAACATTCACTACTGTGCTCACTGGTCAAAGTTCAAACTCACGACCACCGCCATTAAGCGGACGTTCACTACTACTCAGTAATTATGTTTTCTCATCCCTTTTCTTTTCCCACTCCCCTAAATGACTATTTCAGAGTTTCTCATTTCTGCTCAGATCTCCTCCCCAACCCTCCCCTGTAGCTGATGACCCTGCTCTTTATTTTTTTGAGGAAATGGAAACAATCACAACAGTAGTTCTCCCAAGCTCCTATTGCCTTCTATCTGCATCAGCACAGATACATGCTGCCTTCCTTCCTGTTCACTCGGGGGAAATATCTGTGCTTCCAGCAAAGACCCATCTCTCTACTTGTAAAAGCATGTTCTTTCGTATATCCAAGAAATTGGCTCCAGCAATTCTCACTCCTTTCCTGTGACTCATCAGTTTCCCATCTCCAAGTGACACCTCCATTGTCACTGGCGTACTCGTATGCTCTTATTTTTCCCATCATAAAAGCCCTTCCTTGACCCCCTTCCCTGTTCCATTCTTCTCTGTCTCCAATGTCCTTGTGCCCACCTTTTTAGTGGCACATGAATGTATTGTTTGGGCTCTACATTCAGCTTTAACTTATGCTTTATTTGGACTGTTTTATTATATTTTCTTGTCTTCTTCTTTTCCTGTTTCTAAATTGACCAGAGTAATATGGATTTCAAGGGAAAAGGTCCACACACATAGTAATCTGAGTAGTGAGATTTATCATTTTGAATCACAAAAGCAAGAGTGTGGTGATAGATGGAGGTTAAAAGATACATTTGGGTTTCAGGAAGGAGATAAAAACTGTGCAGAAGGAAAGTAACCAAAGAGGAATAACAAGGAGGTTGGCCAAGACCAAGAAACAGAGGAAAGAAAGGTAAGTAAGTTAAGTGGGTAACTAGGAAGGATTGCTAGAAAGTCAAGCAGAGCCAAGACAGTTTTCTCTCTGAGTCCAGCATCAACACTGCAAAAAACAATCTTTCCCACTCCCAAAAATATGTTTCTATTCTCTACTCTTACCATAGTACTATCCTAAGTAGTCACTTAAGAATTTTCATCGTTCTTAAGAAATCTTGACATCTGTTCAGAGAGAGATCCTAATATGCTATTGAAGAAATTATTAATTAAGACCTTGGCAAATCAACAAAATTTGGAAAACTGATTTTTTCAAGGCAAAAATGAATTCACTACCCCTCTAAAGGGGATAAAAGGTTTTAGGAAAGGATCTCTTCAACTTTGGGCTAACACTTCTTATATGGTTTCTAGCTCTAAATAATTCAAATTTCTTCCCATTCAGCTCAAGTCTGTGTTAGTTCCTTTGTGGATAAAAGAAAAAAACTGAGATAAGAATAGAGAGGAAGGAAATTAGCAAAACAATAAAACTCTCTGAGCTCCTTCCTAGGCTTGGCAAGCCGGGGTCAAGAGCATCAGGCAAAAGCCCTGCTTCACCCCTGTAGAGCAAGAGGCTTGCTGAATGCTTTGAACTACTTTTACGACATCCTTCTGGTTTTCTGGCAGGCAGGCAGGCAGGCAGGGTCTGATAGGAGTTCTGAAAAATACCATCTTTTCTTTTTTTACTCCAAATATTCAGTGCATGGCTTGTATCAAGACCTAAGCATTGGAAACGGATTCTACCAGAGCAGCTAGGCAAAGAAGGGTCTGTTCCTCTTCAGATACAAGTGAGGGTAGTTTTCAGAGAAAGTTTCAGTTGGACTCATTAATCATTCCATTAATCATTCATTTAAAAATAAAGACAGGCTTAGCCAAAAGGCAGGGGAGGTGGAGCTCTCGGAGACTCTTAAAGAACTAAAGATCTCCAGTGTGTGACACGTAGTTTGCTTAACTTCCTAAAAGAATTTCCATAAACAGTATTCATTCCAATACAATCCCAGTGCAAGGATTTTTCTTTATTTCTGGAATGTGCTTACCACTACTATAAACATTATTATTAAAATAGTTTCCTTGCTCCTGCATGAAACTGCTTTTTTTTTTTCGCTTGTCCACACTCCAGCTTTGAAGTACTTTTTTAAATAAATATTTATATTGCAATGTAATATACACAGAGCAAAATGTACACATAAAGCCTGAACTTAATAAAATTATCACAAAAAGAACACATCTGTGTAACCACCGTCACAGTCAAGGAGAGACTCTTATCTGGCACTTCAAAAGCTTTACTGTGGTCCTGCCTGGTTTATATCCTCACCTTTTCCTCAAAGGTGACCACTGTCCTGACAGCTTCAGTTTTAAAGACTGGTGGAGTGGTTAAGAATCCCCCTGACAATGCAGGGGACATGGGTTCGATCTCTGGTCCAGGAAGATCCCACATGGCCCAGGACAACTAAGCCGTGTGCTGCAACTACTGAGCCCTACAGCTTGAAAGCTACAACTACTGAACCTGTGTGCTGCAACTAATAAAGCCCACATGTTTAGAGCCCATACTCCGCAACAAGAAAAGTCACTGGGATGAGAAGCCTACGCACCGCAACTTGAGACTAGCCTACATGCAGCAATGGAGACCTAGTGTAGCCAATAAATAAATGAAAAAAAAAATTAAAGATAGTTAGAAGAAAATTATTCTGATAGCTTTCTGACATGAATAAGCATGCTTGTCCCAAATGATTATTCTCTAATGAAGAGGTTAATGTGTTGCTTTTTTTTCTTTTTTCAACAAGGTCAATTTCCACGTCATCCTGCCCTCCGACCTTGTAGGAGGGTCACAGGAATATACAATGTGGAATATATCTCATCAGCCCCAGCCTAAGGGATTTGTGGAAAGGCTTTCTTTCCAGTGATGTTCAGAGAGTGCAGCTGGGTGGGGCAGAGAGTCCCTGAAATAATCCAGCGTTCCTTGCTCCCTGGTATTTATGCCCTTCTGTAATTCTCCTTCTTGACTGTAGGGAGGCTGACCCAGTGACTTGCTTCTACTGAACAGAATACTGTAAATGCGATGTGAGGTCTCTCCTGAGGCTGGGGTATGACTCACCCTGCTTGCCCCCTCTCCCCACCTTACTCGCTCTGTAGAAAGTCAGCTTCTACTTTGGGAGCTGCTCTATGAAAAGACTCACATGGGAAGGAACTGGGGGTGGCCTCCAGCCCATAGACAGTGAACAAATGAACAACTGAGACCGTCAGCCCAACAACCTGTAAGGAACTGAACTCTGCCATAAAAGAGCTTGAAAGCACACCTTCCCCCAGTGGAGGAATGTGGACAGCCCCAGCTGGTGCCTGGATTACAGCCTCATGAGAGACATGGAAGCAGAAACACTGAAGCAGGCCACTCCCAAACTCCTGACTCCCAGAAACTGTGAGACAATAAATGTCTAGTGCCTGGAGCTGCTATGATTGGGGGTATTTCATTGCCTAGTTAAAAGATTACTAAAACCTGGGAAGAAAAGAAAAATCTGTTGGATTCATCAATTCTGTGGCTATAGTGCATGAAGAACAAGAGGTCACAGAGAACCACAACTCTGCAAATAATGAGTTGGCCCAAAAAAGTTCATTCAGGCTTTTCAGTAACATCCTAAGAAAAACCCAATGAACTTTTTGGCCAACCCAGTACAACAGAATATAACATATTTGATTTTGAAATGAGTGCTAGTGATGTTTTTCATCATTAAATGCTAGGGAAATTTCTCGACATCTGGGCTTTCTTTCTATAAATAAAATACACCTTTGCCTTTTATTTTTCAGCCTCATTTTAGCAAGGCTTTTAGGGTGCTCAGGTTTTCTATGGATGAACAGGGGCATCTGACTAAGAGTCACTCAGTCATCTTTTGTAGTCTTGTCTTTTTACTTGCTGATATTTCTTCCTGGAAAGGGATTCATGTTCATAAGATACAAAAGGACATGTACAAAACAGAATTAAATTTCAGGTCTGCCAAGGCTTTTCAGAATCTCTACATCTTCTGCTAATTCAGAACTATTTTACAAAGTCCTCTGGCCTCCCCTTGTTTCTGCTGTCGTCTAAATGTGAAAGCAGGATGCTCTTGCTACAAAGAACCCTTTCAGTTACAGGAGGCCCTAGAAATAGCTCCAGTACATACAGTACACTGCCCCTTATTCTCATGATGAAATCCCCTGCTACCAGGAAGTATCTCTTTCCCACTGCCCTGCTCTCATGGTGTTTTGCAGCTTCAAATCCAACAGCTTGAAGTCACCCAAGTCTTTGCTGTCTCTAAAATGTAGACATTTTCTTCTGGATCTAGTATAGAAGAATGGCCTCCTTTAATGAATCAGGTGAAATCCCAAGATCTTATTAAATATTACTGTGTACTCCCACCAGTTGACTATCTCAGACTCTCTCTAACATTTATTATTCCAGGTAGAAGGGTATAAAAACAAATTACACATGATCCTTGCCATCTTGAAGCTTAATATTTGAGATTTTGTGCCAGAGTGAATGCAAAAATCAAGGTCTATTGTAAAAACCACATTCCCTAGGGCTTTAGGAATGTCAAGGGTCAACTCACCCTATAGAGACTGTATTAGCTTTACTGCCTTTCCCCACCTTCTAGCCACATAAACACACGGAAGTTAGCATGGATTGTTCCATAAACCTAGCATTTTCTCACCCCACATCCACAGAGTTCATCCACAGTCTGGAATTTCTTACCTTTAACGTGCTATTCAAAGTTCGTATTTTGTGGAGTTTCTCATTTATGGATGGATTCTTGCACCGCTTGACAAAGGACTTTCTCAGCTCCTTTTTGGTTGAAGGTCGTCGGTCCCCAAGAGGAGACAGACTAGCTTGCTCTAACGATTTGTAGAGCTTCTCCATTTCATCATCTTCAGATGCTTTTGTCTCGTCTATTAAAATAAAAAAACAACAATATGCCCAGTTAATCAAGGACAGAACATTTGACACTGTGGTCCTAAAACAAGATCCTCCTGACACCTTCATCTTAGACTTCCAGGCTCCACAGTGGTGAGATGTACATTTTTATTGTCTAAGCCACTCAGTTGATGGCACTTAGTCACAACAGCCCATGTTCCCTTTGAAGGCTCTAGGGCAGGATCTATTCCAGGCCTCTCTCCCAGCTTTTGATGGTTCCTTGGCTTGTGGCAGCAGGACTCTTATCTTCACTTGGTGTCTTAGGGTGGGCGTGTCTGTGTGTCCCAATATCCCCTTTTATAGACACCAGTCATATTGATTAGGAGGACATCAATCTCTGATTTAGATGATATTTGGGCGAGACTCAGAGTTGACTTAAGAGTTTAAGACTTAGAGTTGATAATTGGAATGGATTCAGACTTTTGGAGATGTTGAGATGAATTCAGTTAGGACTTCAACACAGGGATTTTGGAAGGACAAAACTAATCCATAATAGTACACCCTCTGTGCTGCGGGCTCAGTTGCATCTGACTCCTAGTGGCCCCATGAACTGTAGCTCACCAGGATCCTCTGCCCATGGACTTTTCCAGGCAAAAATACTGGAGTGGATTGCCATTTCCTTCTCTAAGGGATCTTCCCCACACAGGGCTCGAACCTGCATCTCTTGCATCTCCTGCACTGGCAGGCAAGTTCTTTATCACTAGCACCACCTGGGAAGTATATACTCTGTAGCCTCCAAAAATTCATGTCCCTCTCACAGGCAAAATACTTTCATTCATCTTAACATCGCCAAAAGTCTTAACCTACTTCCAACATCAACTTTAAGTCTCAAACTCTAAGTCAACTCTAAGTCTTGTCCAAATATCATCTAAATCAGAGTGGTGGGACTCAGGGGAAGATTCATCCTAGGGAAAATTTCCTCTTCACCTGTGAACATGTGAAATCAAACAAGTTTTGATATAGAAATTTACTCAAAGAAAATCATCTCCTGCCGCTGCTTTAATTTCTTACTAAGAACTTCAGTCCTTTGTTTACTTTGGTCTCTGAAACAGTCTTGGGAAAGACAGACAGTAAGACTCTTTTCTACCATGCAGTTCTTAGTTTTCTCTATGTACGCAGGAACTTAATGCTATTTGGTTCCCATCCTGAGAACAAGATTGATAGAGGATCATATAGAAAGCACGGCCTTAGGAGAACTGAAAAACAGTCTCTCCAAAGGGGATAAAAAATCATACAATAGTAGTCTAGGAGCATCAAAATTAAGCACTCTCACTTCCTTCACAGTTTACTCTTGTAAAATTAAGTGTCTTTAGGCAACATTTTTCCCCCCTTGTACTACCAGAAAGTCCATAAGCATGCATAGTACTCTTTCATAAAATGGAGAGAAAAGATGTTGGGTTAACTTTGCAATTAAATATAGTAATGTCAATAAACTTTTTTGTTTTCTATCAAAACAATATCAAAAAAGGAGGGAAATATTCAAAACTACATTTGAACACAGACTTTTTGGCTCAGTTGGTGCAGATATCAAAAGTAGGCTTTTGTCAATAAGCACATGAAAATATGCTCAATATCATTAGTCATTAGAGAAATGCAAATCAAAACCACAATGAGATACTATTTCACACTCACCAGGATGGATAAATTAGAAAAGACATAAGTGTGGAGAAACTGGAACATTAAAGTCCTTGGTGGGAACGTAAAATGGACCCACCACTTTGGGAAACAATCTGGTAGTTTCTCAAAATTCTAACTGTGGAGTTACCATGTGTGTGTGTGCTAAACTGCTTCAGTCATGTCTGACTCTTTGAAACCCTATGGACTGTAGCCCACCAGGCTCTTCTGTCCACAGGATTGTCTAGGCAAGCATATTGGAATGGGTTGCCATGCCCTCTTCCAGGGGATCTTCCTGACCCAGGGATCAAACCCATGTCTCCTGTGTCTACTGCATTGCAAATAGATTCTTTACTGTGCGCCATCATATGACCCATCAATTCCATTTCTAACTATGTATTCAAGAAAATTAAAAACATACATTAACACAAAACTTGTGCATGAATGTCATGAAAGATACAAACAAAAGGTGCAACAGTGTAAGTAAATGTTCATCAGTTGCTGCAATACAGTACAGGCATAGAATGGAGTATTAGTCATGAAAAGAAATGAAGTACTGACACATACTAAAACATGGCTGAACTGCGAAACATTATTTGAAGTCAAAGGACCCAGTCACAAAAGGCACATACCGTATTGTCCATTTATAATAAAATTTCAAGAATAAACAAATCCATAGATATAGAAAGTAGATTAGTGGTTGCCTGGAGCTGAGGAGGGGACAAAGCAGGAATGACAGCTCATGTGTATGGGGTTTTCCTGGGTGTGGTGTGATCCACACTTCACACTGGATTGTGGAGCTGCATATCTCTATGAACATCCTAAAAACCACTGAACTGTTTTTTATGTGTGAATTTTATGGTATGTGTAGGAAGCCACCTGCCAATGAGAAGACGCAAGAGACACAGTTTCAGTCCCAGGGTCAGGAAGATCCCCTGGAGAAGGAAATGGCAACCCACTCCAGTACTCTTGCCTGAAAAATTTCATAGACAGAGGAGCCTGGTGGGCTACAGTCCATGCAGTCGCAAAGAGTCGGACACAACTGAGCAACTGAACAACCATGCATATGTGAAGTATATCTCAATAAAGCTGTTAAAAATTAGGTTTTAATAAGATTATCATGATAACTGATGACATTTGCATAGGAAAGATACTAAGTTTGGTAACAGTCCTGGAGTTAAGCTGGAGACATTAGAAAGTGTTAAAAAATTGAAATTAAAAGACATCTGACTCCTAGAGGGTAATATTAGCATTGAGGAGTACATGAGTTTTCAGTCCCACAAGATCACAAGAATTTTATACATCTTTTTTTTTTTTACAGATAGGGAGGCAGAACTCTACTTCAAATAAAGTCTGAATATATAGCTTTTAGGGCTTCCTTGGTGAGTCAGACAGTTAAGAATCTGCCTGCCATGAAGGAGACCCGGGTTCAAACTCTGGATTGGGAAGATCCCATGAAGAAGGGAATGGCTACCCACTCCAGTATTCTTGCCTGGAGAATTCCATGGACAGAGGAGCATGATGGGCTACAGTTCATGGAGTTGTGAACAGTCAGACAGCACTGAGCGACTAACACTTTCACTTACTTTTTTCATATAGCTTTTAATACCACAGTATTTTTAAAATAATATATATTTAACAAACTGTAAGAAATCAGAAAAATAAGTATACAACAGAAAAAAACAGAAGGTTTATTTTCTCTGTGTGCACCAAGATGCTCAGTTGTGCTGCTAAAGATTGTGATAGAAAATAAAATTATTTTTGACTAGCATGTTAATTTGTAATTAGGCCAGAGTAAAAATGATTATAAGATCTTATATCTAATTTGACAGACAATAAATCAGTAAGGATGAAAATAAGCTTTAGGATCTTGGAATAATATGGTATAAAGTACATTCCCTAAATGAACAAGAAAACGGCTTATTTGGATAATCTTATATTATTTAATACATTTTTATGAATATATATTACCTTTAAGTAAAAAAAAAATCACACGTTATCTCCCTCACCCCCCACCCCCACGCCCATTTCCTTCTCTAAATTAAACTCCAGGGCACTAGCCATGAGGATGTGTGTGTGAGTGTCTATGTACGTGTGTAACTTGCTCCTCCTAAAACTAGTGGACCTTTCAAATTAATATGCAGGTAAAGTGGACCTTTTGTAATTACAAAGAGTTAATACAATTTACCTAAAATATGACCAAGCAATGTTCGAAAAACAAACACTTTCTCATTGGGATTCACTTAGAAATTGGAGATAGTAGTAAAGAGTGAGTATATTCATAGAGAATTTTAAGCTGCTGGAAAAATGGAGAAAAATGAATTCAGATTACCATTATGTTCTACCTCTCATTTCTTCATCCCTCCTCAAAAGAAACCTGAGACTAGAAGACTATATATCTGACCTCTAATTACCTGATTCCAGAATCACTCACAAAGGTAAAGTTGAGAAGATAATAAATGATGATGTTAAGAGTCAAGAAAATACCCTGATTGCTTCTTTTGCATAATAATGTGTGGAATACACAACATATTACTAGATATTCAGGGGTAAGACCTGTGACCCAGCCTTGTCCATGACCTAGATGGGGATTTTACACTAGTTTACTGTTGCTAATGGCTGGTGCCTAGGTCTTCATAGAACCATAAATAGAAGATCCAATAAAATTGGAAGCAGATGATAAGTAGGAGCATAGGACAAAAAAGGACCCAAAGGGTACAAGCATATCAAAGACAGCTTACGCCCGACCTCAAAGCAGAAATGAAAGTCCTTACTAATCATTACATGAAGACTAGCATTGCTTGGCTAATCTTACAGGGCTACCCCCACACCTTTCAAAGGCTTTTCAATAAAGTAGTGTTTTTTTTTAATCTCCTTTTCATCTTTTTTTATGTAAATATTTTTCTAAATTCTAATTTCATATTAGAAAACACTAGATTATTCCCTTATTTTACCAGATTATAAAAAGAGTAAAATAACAGAAAATGATTGGCAGGAAGGGCATTTGGTCTCTCTCCCACTGTAAAAAGAAGCCAAGTTCATTATCTTCACCTCCTTTGTCTTCTGTGGCAAAATAAAATGAATTTTGTCTGACAATCAAGTGTTTCCCATGCAACTGCTATCCTTCCTCTCAAGTGCGTATTTTATTCTTCTTACATAAAATAACAGGACTTTAATTTCCTTCTTCTCATAAGGCACACTGTAGTCTCTCATCAAGCCTCACAAGTTCCTGCCGAGGAAGATGAAAACTATTTTTACATTACAGATGAGAAAAAATGTGGAGATTCTTGAAAAACAGCATGCAATCCAATCTTTCCAAAATGTAAATCGGTGCAAAATTAGGAACAAGAGTTCATTTCCA